ATTAGCAGGTAAGGCCCACTGAGCTATGTAGCTCTTTTTTTTACAAAAGTGACATGGCCACCAATGACCGCTCAACGAAGTGGCTTGTGTCGTGCTGAAATTTACAGCAGCAAAATAATCGGAATGCACGTTGACTTGAAATGTGGAGGATAAAACCAGAGGACCCGGAGACAAATCCACGTGACCACAGGCAGAGAGACACGCAAACTCCAAAGATACAGCAGGCGTCAGGGTCGGAATCGAACCCACAACCTCCTACGTTCCAGGCGAGGGAGGTAACGGTGAACTCTCACCTGGCTAACGAAAGGGCACCGTCCAATGTGTGCTGGGTGAGTGGCTCTGGGTGTGAACTCACCCAGAAGGGAGATGAACAGTGGGATGAGGACCAGCTTCATGGTCGGCTCTGTGTGCTGATGATCACAAACGAGAATGAGTCATTAGTCCATCTCACGGCCTCACTCCAATGGCTCACGCTCCCTCACTTTCACATCACTCCGCTTCTACATCTTTTCATTTGTGATGTCAGCGATGAGATTCATCTCTTGGATTTGTTTTTCCCATCTACAATAATATGAATTATTACTGTAATCGTGCTGCATGGGCACTAGTTTACAAGTGAAATAAAAGATGTTCTGCGTATGCCAAGGCACAGGCATCCTGTACCCGAATCACACCCTGAGCCCTGCTACCTGAACTTGACGCTGCAGTCGAATCCTGCACTCACAGGCACGACAACGCGTTTGGTTAGTGTGGATGTTGAACTTCTTTCACACCGTACGGAGCCAACCGTGGCTAAGCGGCGTTGATGTTGTGTAGGCTGGGAACCTTTCAAAGAAGAACAAGGAGCAGACAATTATTTTCGTTTTTTTTCTTGACACATCTCACACACGGAGACATTTGCAGACAAAGATCTCCCGTACAGCCTGAGCAGACTGTTGGGGCAAGTGCTGCTAGCGAGTATCACCTGGGAAGGCCGGAACGGCGCACGAGGGGGTGGGTGGCTGGAACCACGGCCGGCTGCCTTTGTCTCCCCAGTGGCGATGTCTATTACACACCGCACCAGGTACTTCAGTTTCATTTTAATTTATTTGGTATAGCCCTGTGAGCCATTCGGCTCTTGGATCGGGTGCAACCGCAACAAACAAAAGACAAAAACACGAACAAGAAAAATCTTAAAGTGACTTTGTGTGACTTTGTGCAAACAGAAAATCCAGGGGGGAAAAAAACGGCAGAATATTCCACAAAAAGCATCGTACACCAACGCTGTGTGCTACAATCCCAGTGGGATGCAAGTCGATCTCGAGGAGGCCCAGGACCAGTTCAGATGATCGTCACTGGTGTCTGCTGAGCCCAGCGTGAGCCGGCGAGAGAGAGAGACAGAGAGAGAGAGAGAGGTGGTGGTGGTGGTGGGGGGCTCTTGACACTGAGATCGCAAACAGTGGACGGCCGCTGTTGCGTCAAGGGCAAAAACCACGAACGATGAACTCGGATATCGCGATGAGATGTTAACAACCTCGCCTGGTGTACAGGAGGTCGTGGGTTCGTGCTGTATATTTGTAGTCTGAGTGTCTCTCATCATTATCATCATGATCACGGTGGCTATGAGATGTTAACTACCTCGCCTGCTGTTGTATATTTGTAGTCTGAGTGTCTCATCATCATCATCATCACGGTGGCTATGAGATGTTAACTACCTCGCCTGGTACACAGGAGGTCGTGGGTTCGTGCTGTATATTTGTAGTCTGAGTGTCTCTCCTCATCATCATCATCATCACGGTGGCTATGAGATGTTAACTACCTCGCCTGGTACACAGGAGGTCGTGGGTTCGTGCTGTATATTTGTAGTCTGAGTGTCTCTCATCATCATCATGATCATCACAGTGGCTATGAGATGTTAACTACCTCGCCTGCTGCTGTATATTTGTAGTCTGAGTGTCTCATCATCATCATGATCACGGTGGCTATGAGATGTTAACTACCTCGCCTGGTACACAGGAGGTCGTGGGTTCGTGCTGTATATTTGTAGTCTGAGTGTCTCTCCTCATCATCATCATCACGGTGGCTATGAGATGTTAACTACCTCGCCTGGTACACAGGAGGTCGTGGGTTCGTGCTGTATATTTGTAGTCTGAGTGTCTCTCATCATCATCATGATCATCACGGTGGCTATGAGATGTTAACAACCTCGCCTGCTGCTGTATATTTGTAGTCTGAGTGTCTCTCATCATCATGATCACGGTGGCTATGAGATGTTAACTACCTCGCCTGCTGCTGTATATTTGTAGTCTGAGTGTCTCATCATCATCATCACGGTGGCTATGAGATGTTAATTACCTCGCCTGGTACACAGGAGGTCGTGGGTTCGTGCTGTATATTTGTAGTCTGAGTGTCTCTCCTCATCATCATCATCACGGTGGCTATGAGATGTTAACTACCTCGCCTGGTACACAGGAGGTCGTGGGTTCGTGCTGTATATTTGTAGTCTGAGTGTCTCTCATCATCATCATGATCATCACGGTGGCTATGAGATGTTAACAACCTCGCCTGCTGCTGTATATTTGTAGTCTGAGTGTCTCTCATCATCATGATCACGGTGGCTATGAGATGTTAACTACCTCGCCTGCTGCTGTATATTTGTAGTCTGAGTGTCTCATCATCATCATCACGGTGGCTATGAGATGTTAATTACCTCGCCTGGTACACAGGAGGTCGTGGGTTCGTGCTGTATATTTGTAGTCTGAGTGTCTCTCATCATCATCATCATCACAGTGGCTATGAGATGTTAACTACCTCGCCTGCTGCTGTATATTTGTAGTCTGAGTGTCTCTCATCATCATGATCACGGTGGCTATGAGATGTTAACTACCTCGCCTGCTGCTGTATATTTGTAGTCTGAGTGTCTCATCATCATCATCATCACGGTGGCTATGAGATGTTAATTACCTCGCCTGGTACACAGGATGTCGTGGGTTCGTGCTGTATATTTGTAGTCTGAGTGTCTCTCATCATCATCATGATCATCACGGTGGCTATGAGATGTTAACAACCTCGCCTGGTACACAGGAGGTCGTGGGTTCGTGCTGTATATTTGTAGTCTGAGTGTCTCTCATCATCATCATGATCATCACGGTGGCTATGCGATGTTAACTACCTCGCCTGGTACACAGGAGGTCGTGAGTTCGTGCTGTATATTTGTAGTCTGAGTGTCTCTCATCATCATCATGATCATCACGGTGGCTATGAGATGTTAACAACCTCGCCTGGTACACAGGAGGTCGTGGGTTCGTGCTGTATATTTGTAGTCTGAGTGTCTCTCATCATCATCATGATCATCACGGTGGCTATGAGATGTTAACTACCTCGCCTGGTACACAGGAGGTCGTGGGTTCGTGCTGTATGTTTGTAGTCTGAGTGTCTCTCATCATCATCATGATCATCACGGTGGCTATGAGATGTTAACTACCTCGCTTGGTACACAGGAAGTCGTGGGTTCGTGCTTTATATTTGTAGTCTGAGTGTCTCTCATCATCATCATGATCATCACGGTGGCTATGAGATGTTAACTACCTCGCCTGGTACACAGGAGGTCGTGGGTTCGTGCTGTATATTTGTAGTCTGAGTGTCTCTCATCATCATCATGATCATCACGGTGGCTATGAGATGTTAACTACCTCGCCTGGTACACAGGAGGTCGTGGGTTCGTGCTGTATATTTGTAGTCTGAGTGTCTCCCATCAGCACGATCCGGCAGACTGCGAGACGCGGAGTGGAGCGGCAGGCGAGGGGCGGTCCCGCACCACGGGGCGGGACCGGTCCGCTGACCCCGCCCCCTCCACTCGACCAGCCAATGGGAGCGGCCCGCCCGGGACCGTTGGGAATTTGAAATGTTTTATTTTTTCTGCAGCGCCGCTGCGCGATCTGAGGTGAGAGTGACCCCCCCTCTGGGTCGTGGGGGTCCCCTGTGAGTCGTGGGGGTCCCCTCTGGGTCGTGGGGGTCCCCTGTGACTCGTGGGGGTCCCCTCTGGGTCGTGGGGGTCCCCTGTGACTCGTGGGGGTCTCCTCTGGGTCGTGGGGGTCCCCTGTGAGTCGTGGGGGTCCCCTGTGACTCGTGGGGTTCCCCTCTGGGTCGTGGGGGTCCCCTCTGGGTCGTGGGGGTCCCCTGTGACTCGTGGGGGTCCCCTCTGGGTCGTGGGGGTCCCCTCTGGGTCGTGGGTGGGGGTCCCCTGTGGGTCGTGGGGGTCCCCTGTGACTCGTGGGGGTCCCCTCTGGGTCGTGGGTGGGGGTCCCCGGTGGGTCGTGGGGGTCCCCTGTGGGTCGTGGGGGTCCCCTCTGGGTTGTGGGTGGGGGTCCCCTGTGACTCGTGGGGGTCCCCTGTGACTCGTGGGGGTCCCCTGTGGGTCGTGGGGGTCCCCTCTGGGTCGTGGGTGGGGGTCCCCTGTGGGTCGTGGGGGTCCCCTCTGGGTCGTGGGGGTCCCCTGTGGGTCATGGGGGTCCCCTCTGGGTCGTGGGGGGTCCCCTCTGGGTCGTGGGGGTCCCCTATGGGTCGTGGGGGGTCCCCTCTGGGTCGTGGGGTCCCCTCTGGGTCGTGGGTGGGGGTCCCCTCTGGGTCGTGGGGGGTCCCCTCTCAGTCGTGGGGGGTCCCCGCTGGGTCGTGGGGGGTCCCCTGTGGGTCGTGGGTGGGGGTCCCCTCAGTCGTGGGGGGTCCCCTCTGGGTCGTTGGGGGTCCCCTCTGGGTCGTGGGGGGTCCCCTCTGGGTCGTGGGGGTCCCCTCTCAGTCGTGGGGGGTCCCCTGTGGGTCGTGGGGGTCCCCTCTGGGTCGTGGGGGGTCCCCTGTGGGTCGTGGGTGGGGGTCCCCTCAGTCGTGGGGGGTCCCCTCTGGGTCGTGGGGGGTCCCCTCTGGGTCGTGGGGGGTCCCCTCTGGGTCGTGGGGGTCCCCTCTCAGTCGTGGGGGGTCCCCTGTGGGTCGTGGGGGTCCCCTCTGGGTCGTGGGGGTCCCCTGTGGGTCGTGGGGGTCCCCTCTGGGTCGTGGGTGGGGGTGGGATCCCCTCCGCGTGCGATTTGAAAATGCAAAGTTATCTTCTAGATTTGAAACTTTCGTGACTTGCAGGGATTCATACTCTTTGATTCTCTCGGTAAAGTCTCGTGGGGTAGAACAAGAAAATAAATCCCGACGTTTCGGAGGCAACACAAGCAATCATAATCAGGTGGGAAAACCACAGCAATAAGTGTTTTAAATATATATATTTTTAAAAAATAATTCATCAAGGCATCAAACACCGAAATACATCAAGTGAGAAATCCGCTACGTTTCGAGCTATGGGCCTTGCACCATATGGCACACGAGGAGAGATTAGCGAGCGAGTGGGGCCTGCCGTGATGAGAATCTGATTAATTTTTTTCCGACGTAAATAGTTTGTGAACATTTAGCCCTAGACAAAGCCTGCAACACCCACTAACTGATAAAAAAAAACGAATTCCCATTATGCATCGTTGGTATTCATTGTTAAGAGTATTTGGCTGCTGTACAACTAACTGTGTTTCAATCTTGATTTTAAGCTTTCGTTACTGCAAGGAATCCATACGCTTTGGTTATTTCGGTAGAGTCACGACGTTTCGGAGGCAACGCAAGCAACCATCATCAGGTGAGATTTGTTTTATTATTATAATTTCTACCTTCGAGTAATCGTTGATTCGCTTTCATACAGGCCTCTAAAATAGCTCGCAGAGTTCACAGACATAGCCTCCAATAACCACGTCTTACTGAGAATCTCATTCCTATTGTTCATTATTAGTATTGATTGTTAGTATTCATCATAATTATTATTATTTGTCTTTGCTATATTAAAACAATCCTCGTGATAAGCCACTCAGTGGGGATTTCTACACCTGGGAATAATACTTTTCATTTTTGAACATCTAGTAGGTGAAACCCTCCAGCACCATAGGGCTAATCCTCCGATGATGCTGGATGTAATTACCAGCGAAACGTCGGACTACTCAGATTGTAAATGTTGTGGTGGAGTCACTCTTCAACACACCGGTGGGCTGCAGTAGCACACTGCACTATACACTACACTAGTATACACTACACTATACACTACTATACACTATACACTACTATACACTACACTATACACTACTATACACTACACTATACACTACTATACACTACTATACACTACACTACTATACACTACACTATACACTACTATACACTACACTACTATACACTACTATACACTACACTACATTACACTATACACTACTATACACTACACTACTATACACTACACTACTATACACTACTATACACTACACACTGCACTATACACTACACTATACACTACACTACTATACACAACTATACACTACACTACTATACACTACACTACTATACACTACACTATACACTACTATACACTGCACTATACACTGCACTATACACTATACACTACACACTACGCTGCACACTACACTATAAACTACACTATACACTACACTATAAACTACACACTACACTATACACTACACTATACACTACACTATACACTACATTACACTACACTATACACTACACTACACACTACGCACTACACTATACACTACACCACACACTACGCTGCACACTTCACTATAAACTACACTATACATTACACTATACACTACACTATACACTACATTACACTACACTATACACTACACTATACACTACACTATACACTACACTATACACTACACACTACGCTGCACACTACACTAAACACTACACACTACACTATACACTACACTATACACTACACTAAACACTACACTATACACTACACTACACACTACGCTGCACACTACAATATACACTACACTATACACTACACTATACTAGTAAATATTTGGCATTTTGTTTATGTGACAAGTCCCTTACCGATTGGCCGTGTCAGGTGGTGGAGGGTTTATTATGAGTAAATGGAAAGTTACGTTTTTCAAGGTATTATTATTCGTCATTAGTATGTAATATTAAAATTATACAATGTTATAATTACCTGTATACATTATAATTAATGATCAGTACGCATTGTAATTAATTATCAGTGCTTAATTATAAGTATGAATGCATATTAATGATTAGTATGCATTATCCATTATCAGTATGCATTATTAATTATAAGTATTTTCATTCGTTATATGAATGAATTATTATTTAGTATAATTATGCATAATTCATTTTAGGCATGCATTACTTCGTAAGATTACAGTATTATTTTCCACTATACATTGTTATTAATGATCGTAATGCATTATTATCGGCATGCATAATTATAAGTATTAATTATTATTCATTATAAGTATGCAGTATTGTGCATTATTAGTATATCCTGTATTTTTATTCATTAATATGCAGCATTACTCAATATCTGTATGCATTAAAGTGCATTATCACTACGCCCTACGAACCCAGCCACCCGAGTTTGATTCCCGCTCACGGTCACCAACACCGGTGACGATAATCTGAACCTGTCCTGGGCATCCCCTAGGTCGACTCGGCCTCAAATGAGCACCTCGCGAGGCGTTTGAGGAAGCAAAATGTCGTGTGGACGGCCACCCACCCCCTCGTGTGCCCAAACGGATGCTCGCTAACGGACGTACCAACTACATCTGTGGCAAGGGGTGTGTACTTGGGCAGTACCAACTATATCTGTGGCAAGGGGTGTGTACTAGGGCAGTACCAACTACATACATGGCAAGGGGTGTGTACTAGGGCGGTACCAACTACATCTGTGGCAAGGGGTGTGTACTAGGGCAGTACCAACTACATCTGTGGCAAGGGGTGTGTACTAGGGCCGTACCAACTACATCTGTGGCAAGGGGGTGTACTAGGGCGGTTCCAACTACATCTGTGGCAAGGGGTGTGTACTAGTGCAGTACCAACTACATCTGTGGCAAGGGGTGTGTACTAGGGCAGTACCAACTACATCTGTGGCAAGGGGTGTGTACTTGGGCAGTACCAACTACATCTGTGACAAGGGGTGTGTACTAGGGCAGTACCAACTACATCTGTGACAAGGGGTGTGTACTTGGGCAGTACCAACTACATCTGTGGCAAGGGGTGTGTACTAGGGCAGTACCAACTACATCTGTGGCAAGGGGTGTGTACTTGGGCAGTACCAACTACATCTGTGGCAAGGGGTGTGTACTAGGGTAGTACCAACTACATCTGTGACAAGGGGTGTGTACTAGGGCAGTGCCAACTACATCTGTGGCAAGGGGTGTGCACTGGGGTGGTACCAACTACATCTGTGACAAGGGGTGTGTACTAGGGTAGTACCAACTACATACATGGCAAGGGGTGTGTACTAGGGCGGTACCAACTACATATATGCCAAGGGGTGTGTACTAGGGCGGTACCAACTACATATATGCCAAGGGGTGTGTACTAGTGCGGTACCAACTACATATATGCCAAGGGGTGTGTACTAGGGCGGTACCAACTACATCTGTGGCAAGGGGTGTGTACTGGGGTGGTACCAACTACATCTGTGACAAGGGGTGTGTACTAGTGCGGTACCAACTACATCTGTGGCAAGGGGTGTGTACTAAGGCGGTACCAACCACATATATGGCAAGGGGTGTGTACTGGTGCGGTACCAACTACATATATGCCAACGGGTGTGTACTAGTGCGGTACCAACTACATACATGCCAAGGGGTGTGTACTAGGACAGTGCCAACTACATCTGTGGCAAGGGGTGTGTACTAGGGCGGTACCAACTACATCTGTGGCAAGGGGTGTGTACTGGTGCGGTACCAACTACATCTGTGGCAAGGGGTGTGTACTAGGGCGGTACCAACTACATCTGTGGCAAGGGGTGTGTACTTGGGCAGTACTAACTACATATATGCCAAGGGGTGTGTACTAGTGCGGTACCAACTACATATATGCCAAGGGGTGTGTACTAGTGCGGTACCAACTACATATATGCCAAGGGGTGTGTACTAGGGCGGTACCAACTACATATATGGCAAGGGGTGTACTAGTGCGGTACCAACTACATCTGTAAAGGGGTGTGTACTAGTGCGGTACCAACTACATCTGTGGCAAGGGGTGTGTACTGGTGCGGTACCAACTACATATACGGCAAGGGGCGTGTACTAGGGCGGTACCAACTACATATATGGCAAGGGGTGTGTACTAGTGCGGTACCAACTACATATACGGCAAGGGGCGTGTACTAGGGTGGTACCAACTACATACATGGCAAGGGGTGTGTACTAGGGCGGTACCAACTACATACATGGCAAGGGGTGTGTACTAGGGCGGTACCAACTACATATATGGCAAGGGGTGTGTACTAGTGCGGTACCAACTACATATACGGCAAGGGGCGTGTACTAGGGCGGTACCAACTACATACATGGCAAGGGGTGTGTACTAGGGCGGTACCAACTACATACATGGCAAGGGGTGTGTACTAGGGCGGTACCAACTACATACATGGCAAGGGGTGTGTACTGGGGTGGTACCAACTACATATACGGCAAGGGGCGTGTACTGGGGTGGTACCAACTACATACATGGCAAGGGGTGTGTACTGGGGTGGTACCAACTACATACATGGCAAGGGGCGTGTACTAGGGCGGTACCAACTACATACATGGCAAGGGGCGTGTACTAGGGCGGTACCAACTACGTACATGGCAAGAGGCGTTTACTAGGGTGGTACCAACTACATATATGGCAAGGGGTGTGTACTGGGGTGGTACCAACCACATATATGGCAAGGGGTGTGTACTAAGGCGGTACCAACTACATACATGGCAAGAGGCGTGTACTAGGGCGGTACCAACCACATATATGGCAAGGGGTGTGTACTAAGGCGGTACCAACTACATACATGGCAAGGGGCGTGTACTAGGGCGGTACCAACTACATACATGGCAAGAGGCGTTTACTAGGGTGGTACCAACTACATATATGGCAAGGGGTGTTTACTGGGGTGGTACCAACTACATATACGGCAAGGGGTGTGTACTGGGGTGGTACCAACCACATCTGTTGACACAAGGAGGCGATTTTTTTGGTTCTTTCGGTAAAGTCACGTAGATAGACAATTAAAATAAAAGCAAAAAACCCACGACCTTTCAATCGCGACACAAAGCGGTCTTCATCAGGCGGAGAGAAAAGAGGGCGCAAGCCTCCAAATGCAACTGCTTATTTAAGGTCTTCCAAAGTTGTGAGTGGGCTGAGGATTGTAGTTGCGTGGAGGAGGAGGAGAGCTGAGTGGATAAAACAGCATGGGCGGTGCAGCCAATGCCAATGTGGGAGTACAGCGTGGGATAGAGGTGGAGCTGAGCGTGAGAGGCGCAGTCCAAGTGTGTTAGACAATGGGGGGGGGGGGGGGGGGGGGGGGTAGAGATGGGGGGTGGGAGGGGGGAGAGAGATGGGGGGTAGAGATGGGGAGGGGGTGGAGAGAGATGGGGGGGGGGGAGAGAGATGGGGGGGGAGAGAGATGGGGGGGGGGTAGAGATGGGGGGAGGGAGGGGGAAGAGAGATGGGGGGGAGAGAGATGGGGGGGGGGGGGGGTAGAGATGGGGGGTAGAGATGGGGGAAGAGAGATGGGGGGTAGATTGGGGGTAGAGATGGGGGGGGGTAGAGATGGGGGGTAGAAATGGGGGGAGGGAGGGGGAAGAGAGATGGGGGGTAGATTGGGGGTAGAGATGGGGGGGGGGTAGAGATGGGGGGTAGAGATGGGGGAAGAGAGATGGGGGGTAGATTGGGGGTAGAGATGGGGGGGGGGGGGGTAGAGATGGGGGGAGGGAGGGGGAAGAGTGATGGGGGAGAGAGATGGGGGGTAGAGATGGGGGGAGAGAGATGGGGGGGAGAGAGATGGGGGGAGGGAGGGGGAAGAGAGATGGGGGGTAGAGATGGGGGGAGAGAGATGGGGGGGAGAGAGATGGGGGGGAGAGAGATGGGGGGGGGAGAGAGATGGGGGGTAGAGATTGGGGGGGGGAGAGAAGGGGCCGGTATGTGCGGAAATTTCCCAGTGCTGTATTAGGTCTTGTTCACGCTCGCAGGCTCTATTGTTTTGGTCTGTTTCAGAGGCGCAGGAAAGGATGGGATTGGTGTGGACTGTCCGATTCGTGGCTCTACTGCGTGAGTGCTCGTGTCACTGCGTGTTTACTGCTGCCAGGTCACCACCATCACCGTCATCATCGTCATCATCAACAGTGCACCTAGCATGGCACAAGCGGCATGAGGACGTCACGGCCACTTAGAGGCGGCTATTGTTGCTAGTGGGGTGTTTCATTCGGATAGCTACAACCTCAGTGCTGCGTGGAAGCGAATCATCAAATGATCCATTGTTTAAATGCGTGTCAATGAAGGTCACCATGTAGTCCTTGGGCCAGGCCAGACATCGGTACCACCCAAGGTAGCAAAACTTCAATGGTGCCGTTTTATTTGTCACACCAACGCAAGTAAAATAATGCGTGATAACCTTTCCAAATGAGCAGCTGTTTAGGTTTTCTAGCAGGAAACTTGTCTTTGCACCAATCGCAATCACACCTATTTGCCTGGACGTTACAAATAAACCATTCCAACACCTCTGCTGTCAATTAAGACAATACCTAATTAACAAAACGGATGTTTGTCCCCAAGGCGTGTATTTCATTGATATTCTTGCATTTAGTCACGCTTGTTCTTCAATTTTAGTGACTTAGTGAAGCCTGGAAGAGATTGTCGCTCTCTGTTTTCTGTTTCCAGCAGCTTGTTTGCTCATGATCATTTACTGGCACACGTGAGGCAAGTACTGGTGCTTCTGTATTAAAGTGCTAGCTTTACCCTCAGTGTATTGTTAATGTACCTGTTAAGATGATCAGTTTGTCAATTGTTATATATATATATTTTTTAAATATTTTGCTTCTGTAAATTGTAAACTTTCATAACATGCACACAATTATTATCAATAACTACATTTTTATTTTAAGCTTTCGTGACTGCAGGGATTCCTATTATTGGTTCTTTCGGTAAAGTCACGGAGAAGGGAAACAATAAAATAATAAAAATATATAAATATATATTATTAAAAATATATTGTTGTTTTATTGTTTCCCTTCTACTTGACTTTACCGAAAGAACCAAGAATACCAATAACTTTGTTTGTTGGAATAGCTAGAAATTTTCGTAGGGATTTTTTAAAATATCTTTTGTCATTTTCATTTTATGTGGTATTATATCTTAAAAAATAGACACAAATCATGTTTTTTTTTTCACATGCGTTAAGTGTATATTAACATAATTAACTGAAAGAACAATATTTTGACAAAAGCCTCTGTAGATTATCCACCAATTAGTTATTGATCACATTAAAATAAACTAAAAAGTTCTGACTTCATCTACTAAGTCAATATTGTGTTTTACATAATATGCAAATCTGTGCATAGTTAACAAGATAACATAATATGCATAAATGAATGGGGGGGGGAGGGAAAGTCACAAAACAAGAACATCTTATACTTTTGTGTATATTCATCTGGTAATTTTTCATTCTGATAAAAGCTGGCCATCAGCTGCCCATCACACACCCATATGTGTACACGGAATTCATGGAAGGAGGCTTTTCAGTTCAACTGGGCTCCACCAATCCCTTTGGCGGAATCCCTGTTGACCAAGCTATAGAAGAAATGGTGATCAAAAACACCCAGACAGCTGGAGGGACAAAGGCATTCAGCTTGAACCCAGGAGCCGTGACCAAATATTACCTAACAGCTGAGTACAGAAGCATGTACCTCAGACAGCTGAGAGACCTGATAGGTCAAGGCAGGTCCAAACTGTCCCATCCAGATCTACAGGGTCCAAGGATCAAGAGAGATGAAGCAGATGTCCAGACTCTCATTGACCTTATAGAGAATAACTGGATCAATCCTATGTCCCCTGATGAGACAGATCTGGTTAGCATCTCCACTGGTACCATGGCTCCACCTGATGTGACCAGGGATCTCTTGAGAGCTCTTGAGATAGGAGAAGAGGCCCTACCAGGTATTCAAGCAAACAAAGTTAGTTGAGGACCTACCATCTGTGAAATTCTACGACAAGATGACCAAGCAAAGTCTGAAGACATTCTCCAATATCAGCATAAAACACACACACATCGGCCTTTGTGTCCCGAGAGACAATTATTTTGTGCCTTAGGAGGTCAGCTGTAGGTTTTGAAGCGTCTAGAATGACTTAGTAGGCCAATCCTTGAGTGACAATCCTTGCCGCAGCCATTGCAAGCGAATGCGGTGCCAGCTCCAGAGGTGTTGCATAAAATCGGCCTACGTGGAAAGAAAGCACAGGACGTGGTTCTGAAAGCAGATAGAAACCTGCTCAGCCACATGACCCTGGTGGATGAAAGCAGGAAGGTGAATATGAAGGATGTCCTTGCCCACCCACTGGGCCCACTGCCTGTGGCACTGGCAAATGCTGATGGGTCCCTATAAAAAAAAAAACAAGGCTGCATTTATAAAAATATAAAACAATAAAATTCTCACGACGTTTCGACTGCAACACGAGAAGCAATCATCATCAGGTGTGAAAACTACAGCAAGAAAATTTGAAAACCGCCACTTTTTTCAAATTTTCTTGCTGTGGTTCTCACACCTGATGATGATTGCTTGTGTTGCAGTCGAAACGTCGTGATAATTTTATTTTTTATATTTTTATTATTTTATTGTTTCCCTTCTAACGTTACTTTACCGAAATAACCAAGAATAAGGCTGCACTTGCCAGAGAGCTTGTAAAGAATGTGTCTCCTGCAGAAGACATCCCAACCCCATCTACTTCCATCATTGATGCGATGAGAATAGGTTTTCTCATTTTTGCTGGCACCAAAACAGCTGTGTTAATATGTTAAAACACCAAACTGAAACCTTTTACAAGGAATCATGTCTGCATTAACCACAATACTTGTGGTCAGAATGCAAACAAAAAACATACTCTGATAATATAACGCTTGTGTTGCGATCGCAAACGTAGTTTTTTTGTTATTTCCTTTGAACCTATCTACGTGACTTTACCGAAAGACCCAAGAATCTGAATTCCTGCAGTCATGAAAGCTTAAAGTCAAGAAATATCACGGTATTTTATCTTTAAAATCTGCTGATTACAAGCTAACGACAACACTCCTGGCCAATCATTTCACAACCGGAATCTCGAATTATCCTGGAGGAATCCAATGATCTATGAAGCTTCTTTTTAACAGATTATTTTTGTTTTAACTCGGGCCCTCCAGGATTATGTTGTCCAAGGAGAGTTACCCGGGTTCAAGTGGAGCGCAGCGAAAGCAGCGGATGAACGAGTGTGAGCAGCAGCCTCTGTGTGTTGTTAGACATCTGTAACGGGCGTGAACCGGTCTCTCTCTTCCCGTGCAGATGTGACATTTGCCGCAACGCTCCAGCTCTCTCTGCCGGAAAGGCTGGACATGACGGAGGGGGCGAGCTTGACTATAAATTGCTCCTTCTCACCGCCACCTACCGACCTGAATTACGTCATTGTCAAGTGGTCTATGATGTCCACGTACTACTCGGAGAACGTGTCTATGCACGACATCACCAAGGTGACTGAACAGGGACCCCTTCCTCCTCGGGCCTAACTGTGCGCATGTTACTGCTTGCACTGACGCTCCGCGGTTTTGTTTAACCAACGGAATGTTATTTGCGTGTGCTCGTTTTTGCCCTGGAGGAATATCTGTACCATTTAGTAAGGAGCTTGTTTTAACGAAGTTTTGGCCGATTTCATAATTTAATGCCTTCCTACTGGGGGCAACTGGCAGACCCAAGGGACAAACCATGTGCACAAGGAGACAGTGTGCAAAGTTCCAAACAAAACAGCAGACTCTCAATTATCCGCGCTCATAGATCGGGAGGACAGCTGCGGATAATTGCAAATCGTGGATCATCCAAAAATATTACTCTTTTTGCGTGGATCTCTGCCAAAAAAGCGCGAATATTGGCATAAAATATTGATCGATGATGCGCATGCTCAGTGATGATAATCACTTCCGGCTCCTGCCCAGCAGAAGACTCAGCCCACTGAGTGGATGACAGCAGAGCCACAGCCAATCAGCATCACTCAAACTCAGCCCACTGAGTGGATGACGGCAGAGCCACAGCCAATCAACATCAATCAAACTCAGCCCACTGAGTGGATGACAGCAGAGCTACAGCCAATCAGCATCAATCAAACTCAGCCCTCTTAGTGGATGACAGCAGAGCCACAGCCAATCAACATCAATCAAACTCAGCCCACTGAGTGGGTGATATCAGAGCCACAGCCAATCAGCATCAATCAAACTCAGCCCTCTTAGTGGATGACAGCAGAGCCACAGCCAATCAACATCAATCAAACTCAGCCCATTGAGTGGGTGATATCAGAGCCACAGCCAATCAGCATCAATCAAACTCAGCCCACTGAGTGGGTGACATCAGAGCTGCAGCCAATCAGCATCAATCAAACTCAGCCCACTGTTGTATAGCTATTGCAACTACTGTCCTATAGAGGCGATCACGTGAATTTCGTATTAACCGTAGCAACACATTTGTTGGTTTAAGCACCATGTGTGACTAAACGTTTCCAAGAATAACAATGCCTAACTGTTTTTAGATCATTCATTCTGGGGCTTTAGGGAAAATATCCACGAGTTATGAATTTATGTCAAAGTCTCAGGTGGGCGGTTAGCCTGCAAATTGGATAGACCGCACGCACGGATAATTTATAATCAAACAGTCAACTGTAGATCTATCGATTAAATCCACAAACAGACTCACTTCATGAGCTGGGTTGGTCAAGCAAAGCTGTTGGTATCCAGCAAACCCCTGCCCATTGCGGGAGTTACGCTCTTGAAAATAGCCACGGTCCGCACACCTCAAAGGCAAATGGGAAAAAACCAGGATGTTGGTTCACGTTTGACACATAGGAAGAATTTGGCGACCAATATTTTTCATAATAGAGGTTTTTTTTTTGGGGTTAGATCAGATGAATATCAATGTGTCGTTAAACCCGCCACCACCCGACACAGCCAATTAGTATCAGGGTTTGTCACGTAAGCAAAGGTGAAGTAGTAACTAACCCACCGGTGTGTTGCAGATTAAGTTCCAATACTCTCCAACACACTGGTTAGTGCCGAACTAGTAACTAAATTGGCACATTTTGTTTACTTGAAAAGCCTTACAAATTGGCTGTGTCGGGTGTTTGCGGGTTAAGGACACATTTATACCGACGCGATCTAACCCAAACGAACCTTCATTATCAGCTTGGTTCACGGTTCGTAAAGTCACATAGAAGGGAAACAATAAAATATTTTTTGTTCGAATTTTCTTGCTGTGGTTTTCACACCTGATGATGATTGCTTGTGTTGCAGTCGAAACGTCGTGAGAATGTAATTGTTTTATATTTTTATTATTTTATTGTTTCCCTTCTACGCGGTGACTTTACCGAAATAACCAAGAATATGAATCCCTGCAGTCACGAAAGCTTTAAATCAAAATTCACCCCGTCATTTTGTTTTGCGTTACCCTACTTCAACCCAAACATTAGACGTCAAGCGTTGTGAACGCAGAGTGCGATTTAATATTTTCTAGTGTTGAATATAACTTGCGCGGTAAATGCATGGCATGAAAAAAAAAACATATTCCTGTAGTGTACAGTCCTGCATGGTGCAGTACTCCAGGAATTTTAAAAAATCTCGCGCAGCGGGAACATCGCTGCCGCCTCCTCGCCGGAGGCTGGGAACGCCGCGTGGCCTGGCCGCCACGATGGGACGCGTGGGAGAGACGGGGCGGAGACGAGGTGGCACCACCCGCGTGTTGTTCTCCCGTGGCGGCAGCAGCAGTAGCAGCAGCGTCATCGCGGGCAGTGCGGTGACGACGCTGTGCAGTAGGAATCTCTCTCGTGCCGCAGTGCCGGTAGCTTTCGTAGGCGCTGCTGCTGCTACTCGCTACGAAACAGCACTTGCCCCAACAGTCTGTTAATGCTATACGGGGGATCATTGTATGTCCTGGGCGTGGTGTTGGTCACCTACCCCCTCGCGTGCCGCAGTGCCGGTAGCCTTCATAGGCGCTGCTGCTGCTACTCGCTACGAAACAGCACTTGCCCCAACAGCCTGTTACAGGCTATCGGGAGGGAATCTTTGTCTTTGTGAGGGGGGATGAGCGGAGGGAAGGTTGTATCGCGGTGTGAGTATCCCCTTAGACTAAACTAAACCATAAAACTAAACTATATTTTTTTTTATTTTACCAGTTGCGTAAAGCCCCATTTTTTCAGAAGCGACCCCTGGCTATCATAAATGAGAACCCAAAGCAAGTGGCTCATCGTCATCATCATCATGTGGACATTTTATAGCAGCAGCCAAATGACTCGTGGTGACATTGTTTGTAAATGTGGACGGGAAAACCCGGAGGAGGACCGCGGAGACAAATCTACGGCGACCACGGGGAGAGAGAAAGAGACGCAGACTTCAAATATACAACAGCAGGTGTCTGGATCGGGATCGAACTCACGACCTCCTGTATACCAGGCGAGGGAGTTGACATCTCATAGCCACCGTGATGATGATGATGATGATAATGAGAGAGACGCAGACTCCAAATAAACAACAGCATGCGTCTGGATCGGGATCGAACTCACGACCTCCTGTATACCAGGCGACGGAGTTGACATCTTCTAGCCACTGTGATGATGATGATGAGAGAGACGCAGACTTCAAATATACAGCAGCAGGTGTCTGGATCGGGATCGAACTCACGACCTCTTGTATACCAGGCGACGGAGTTGACATCTTCTAGCCACCGTGATGATGATGAGAGAGAGACGCAAACTGCAAATATGCAGCAGGCGTCAGGGTTGGGATCGAACCCACGATATGTACACCAGGCGAGGTAGTTAACATCTCCTTGCCACCGTGGCACCCCGTAGCTAAACCCGGCGAGGTTGAAGGGTTTACTGTACCGCTATCTCCTGGTCACCTTGCAGTGTCAGGTACCCTACAGTACCTGCTACCCTACAGTACCTTGTACCCTAGAGGAAGTCTCCCATCCAAGTACTCAACCCTTCTTAGCTTCGTCCTCGTACGGGAGTTTTCGTGTTGCGTTCTGGTAAATTGCATGTGTGTGCGGTGTTGCGAATTGTGGGTTGCTTTTTTCCTTGTTGCAGATCTACAACTCAGGAATCGAAATCGCCAGTACCGGAGTGGCCACGTTTGTGGGCAACGTGGAGAAGGGCGACTGCTCCCTGAGGCTCCTGCACATCTCCTCGAGCCTCCACCCCGTGTTTAGGTGCCAGGTGATCTGCGGACGGTGCAACACGGAGAACAACGTGGTGGAAGGAGAGGTGGTGGTGAATGTGACGGCTACAGGTGAATAAGAAATTGGTCCCAAGATGATAAAAAAAAAAGATTAGGCTGCTTCACCCCTTTCCAGCATGTTTTACCACACGCATGATGCGTGTGGTCGATGCAGATTTGACGATGCCTTGCAATAGATGTGTCTATTTGGCGTTTGAACAGCTTAAAAGTGCAGCTGTGTTCTTGCCGGAAGGGGTTAAGAAGCCTCTTCGTTCTTCATCATCTTGATACTGGCAAAAATCGTCCCGTAGATGTAACTGCTCGACCCGAGCTATTAACGCTTTGATATTTTCATTGCCTTTGTGCTGTTCGTCTTTTGGCGTTCTCGCATCTAACAATGGTGGTGCAGAGACAAGGCCAAAGAGAAAGGCTGTAGCCCTGGTGCAGGCCAATCAGCTGGATGGACAAATGGGTACCATTATTATCAAAGCGTCTCTGTTTGCATGTTTTGCCACAAGTCGTTCAGGACTTCACCTACTTGGGTTCTACCATCACCTACAATTTGTCCCTTGTCACAGAGATTGACAAGCACATTGGGAAGGCTTCAACAGCTATGTTCAGGTTGACTAAAAGAGTGTGGGAGAACATATCCCTAACGCTCAACACCAAAGTACAAGCGTACCGGGCCTGCGTCCTTAGCACCCTCCTCTATGGGTCTGAGTCCTGGACAACATACGCCCGTCAAGAACATCGACTAAACACATTCCACCTCCGATGTCTCAGGCGCATCCTCGATATCAGATGGCAAGATCGCATTCCCAACACCTCAGTTCTCAACTTGGCCAACATTCCCAGCATGTACTCTCTACTCAGTCATAGGCGCCTGAGATGGCTTGGACACGTGCGCCGCATGCAGGATGGCAGAATGCCCAAGGATGTCTCGTACGGCGAGCCGGCATCAGGCACACGGGCCACTGGTCGCCCGGTCCTGCGCTTAAAAGATGTCTGTGAACGGGACATGAAGAGCTGCGACATCAACCCAAATGACTGGGAGAAAACTGCCGGCGACCGACTCAGCTGGCAGCAGGTTGTGAAAACAGGCCTCAGGAGAGGCGAGGAGAAAAGACACACTGCTTGGCAGACCAAGAGGGAGCGACGTAAAGAAAAAGCAACAAACACCTCTGGAGCTGCCACCGCATTCACTTGCAATTGCTGTGGCAAGGATTGTCACTCAAGGATTGGCCTACTAAGTCATTCTAGGCGCTGCAAAACCTACAGCTGACCTCGTAAGGCGCAAAAATAATTGTCTCTCGAGACACAAAGGCCTATGGAGTATGGAGTGGAGTGGATGTGTGGTTACTGTAGTTTTGATGATGCCTTGTGGTGATAATAGCTTTTTGTGTTTTTTCGGCGTTTGAACATCTTAACATGATTTAAAGCTTTCGTGACTGCAATGATTCATCTTCTTTGGTTCTTTCAATTTATTATTTTGTTCTCATTTTACGTGACTTTACCGAAAAGAACCAAAGAAGATCTTAACATGACTCCTGCGTTATTGCCGGGACTGCACATGAAGCCTGCTGCACGTGAAGCCGTGTTGAGTGAGTGGTCTCTCCCTGCTGCACGTGAAGCCGTGTTGAGTGAGTGGTCTCTCCCTGCTGCACGTGAAGCCGTGTTGAGTGAGTGGTCTCTCCCTGCTGCAAGTGAAGCCGTGTTGAGTGAGTGGTCTCTCCCTGCTGCACGTGAAGTCGTGTTGAGTGAGTGGTCTCTCCCTGCTGCACGTGAAGCCGTGTTGATTGAGTGGTCTCTCCTTGCTGCACGTGAAGCCGTGTTGAGTGAGTGGTCTATCCCTGCTGCACGTGAAGCCGTGTTGAGTGAGTGGTCTCTCCCGGCTGCACGTGAAGCCGTGTTGAGTGAGTGGTCTCTCCCTGCTGCACGTGAAGCCGTGTTGAGTGAGTGGTCTCTCCCTGCTGCACGTGAAGCCGTGTTGAGTGAGTGGTCTATCCCTGCTGCACGTGAAGCCGTGTTGAGTGAGTGGTTTCTCCCTGCTGCACGTGAAGCCGTGTTGAGTGAGTGGTCTCTCCCTGCTGCACGTGAAGCCGTGTTGAGTGAGTGGTCTCTCCCTGCTGCATATGAGGCCGGGTTGAGTGAGTGGTCTCTCACTGCTGCACTTGAAGCCGTGTTGAGTGAGTGGTCTCTCCCTGCTGCACGTGAATCCGTGTTGAGTGAGTGGTCTCTCCCTGCTGCACGTGAAGCCGTGTTGAGTGAGTGGTCTCTCCCTGCTGCATTTGAAGCTGTGTTGAGTGAGTGGTCTCTCCCTGCTGCACGTGAAGCCGTGTTGAGTGAGTGGTCTCTCCCTGCTGCACGTGAAGCCGTGTTGAGTGAGTGGTCTCTTCCTGCTGTACGTGAATCCGTGTTGAGTGAGTGGTCTCTCCCTGCTGCACGTGAAGCCGTGTTGAGTGAGTGGTCTCTCCCTGCTGCATGTGAAGCCGTGTTGAGTGAGTGGTCTATCCCTGCTGCACGTGAAGCCGTGTTGAGTGAGTGGTCTCTCCCTGCTGCACGTGAAGCCGTGTTGAGTGAGTGGTCTCTCCCTGCTGCATGTGAAGCCGTGTTGAGTGAGTGGTCTCTCCCTGCTGCACGTGAAGCCGTGTTGAGTGAGTGGTCTCTCCCTGCTGCACGTGAAGCCGTGTTGAGTGAGTGGTCTGTTCCTGCTGTACGTGAAGCCGTGTTGAGTGAGTGGTCTCTCCCTGCTGCACGTGAAGCCGTGTTGAGTGAGTGGTCTCTCCCTGCTGCACATGAAGCCGTGCTGAGTGAGTGGTCTCTTCCTGCTGTACGTGAATCCGTGTTGAGTGAGTGGTCTCTCCCTGCTGCATGTGAAGCCGTGTTGAGTGAGTGGTCTCTCCCTGCTGCATGTGAAGCCGTGTTGAGTGAGTGGTCTCTCCCTGCTGCACGTGAAGCCGTGTTGAGTGAGTGGTCTCTCCCTGCTGCATGTGAAGCCGTGTTGAGTGAGTGGTCTCTTCCTGCTGTACGTGAAGCCGTGTTGAGTGAGTGGTCTCTCCCTGCTGCACGTGAAGCCGTGTTGAGTGAGTGGTCTCTCCCTGCTGCTGCACGTGAAGCTGTGTTGAGTGAGTGGCCTCTCCCTGCTGCACGTGAAGCTGTGTTGAGTGAGTGGTCTCTCCCTGCTGCTGCACGTGAAGCCGTGTTGAGTGAGTGGTCTCTCCCTGCTGCACGTGAAGCCGTGTTGAGTGAGTGGTCTCTCCCTGCTGCACGTGAAGCCGTGCTGAGTGAGTGATCTCTCCCTGCTGCACGTGAAGCCGTGCTGAGTGAGTGGCCTCTCCCTACTGCTGCACGTGAAGCCGTGTTGAGTGAGTGGTCTCTCCCTGCTGCACGTGAAGCCGTGCTGAGTGAGTGATCTCTCCCTACTGCTGCACGTGAAGCCGTGTTGAGGCCGTGGTGCTGGGTGTGAGTGGGGGGTCTCGCCGAGCCCCTTCTCTGCCACCGCGTCGGCTCTTGACGCCACCGTCCGTGTCTCTTCAGCCCCGCGGCCACGTGGTGGGGACGTGAGTAACGCCACTTTCGACCTCGCAGCGGTGACCTCGAACGCACAGCTTCTATTCTCCACCAAGAGGACTGGACTGGTGGCAGCGGCGGCGGTGGTACTGGGCCTGGTAGCCGCGGCTGCCGTCACCGGCAAGTTCAAGCTCCGAAGTCTGGGAGCTCTGCGGGCTCAATCAGGTACCATCCAGGTCCAGGCGATGTGCGCTCTACTCCCCCGTGTTGGGGCGATCCTAACGCGCAGCAATCGGCCATCGGCCTTGCTCACGTCTCTGGGAGAACGACCGTTGTTAATTACAACAACAAAAAAACACTAAAACCTAACCTTTGTTTTGCCAGGTTTAAGTGCCTGCTTAGCTATGTAGATCTTTTTCAGAAGCGACCTGGGTATCACAAATTGATTTAACTCGACAAAGCGGCTCATCATCATCGTCGTCGTCATCGTGCGGGAATTTATAGCAGCAGCCAAATGATCTCAACGCGTGACGTTGATTCTGAATGTGGAGGGAAAACCCGGAGGACCCGGAGAAAAATCCACGCGACCACAGGGAGAGAGAGAGACGCAGACTCCAAATATACAGCAGCAGCAGGCGTCAAGGTCGGGATCAAACCCACGACCTCCTGTACACCAGGCGAGGTAGTTAACATCTCGTAGCCACCGTGATGATGATGAGAGAGAGAGAGAGACGCAACTCCAAATATACAGCAGCAGGCATCAGGGTCGGGATCAAACCCACGACCTCCTGTATACCAGGCGAGGTAGTTAACATCTCCAAGCCACCGTGATGGTGATAATGAGAGAGACGCAGACTCCAAATATACAGCAGCAGCAGGCGTCAGGGTCGGGATCAAACCCACGATCCCCTGTATACCAGGCAAGGGAGTTAACATCTCGTAGCCACCGTGATGATGAGAGAGAGAGAGAGACGCAAATTCCAAATATACAGCAGCAGGCGTCAGGGTCGGGATCAAACCCACGACTCCCTGTATACCAGGCGAGGTAGTTAACATCTCCTAGCCACCGTGATAATGATTATGAGAGAGATGCAAACTCCAAATATACAGCAGCAGGTGTCAGGGTCGGGATCAAACCCACGACCTCCTGTACACCAGGCGAGGTAGTTAACATCTCCTAGCCACCGTGATAATGATGATGAGAGAGATGCAAACTCCAAATATACAGCAGCAGGTGTCAGGGTCGGGATCAAACCCACGACCTCCTGTACACCAGGCGAGGGAGTTAACATCTCCTAGCCACCGCGGCGCCCAATTGCCTCTTCAGCAGGCTCTGTACACAGCAGAGATCCAATAATCCGCAATAAAATCTGCGAACGCCACTTATTGTCGGTGGTTTGCGACTGATGCACAACCCGGCAGATTGACTATGCTTTACCGACCACAAGCCACAATCCATAGAAGTGAGCTGTGCCTCGGGCAGATCTGGTTTCTCTGTGATTTGGTGCACGTGTGTGCCATATGTATAATGAATACTTTGTGTCAAATCGCTGACAAACGAACCTTGGCCTCATTGCTGCGACCGTCAAGCTGAAGCTCAAGAGGGCGATCCCACAAGGCGAACACCGTGGTGAGATGATGTTAACTACTTCGCCTGGGGTACAGGAGGTCTTGGTGTTCGTTTCTGACCTTGACGATGTCTGCTGCTGTTTATTTGGAGTTTGTGTGTCTCTCTCTCTCCCCGTGGTGGTCGTGCGGATTTCTCTCCATTTTTCCCTCCACATTTAGATCCGTTGTCACGCATTTACAGTATTTGGCTACCGCTCTAGATGCCCACGCGACAATGAGCCGCTTCGTTGAGTTATCATTTGTGTTGGCCGGTCGCTTCTGCAAAGAGCTATAGAGCGTCTCAGTGGAGGGGGGCCTTACCCTGGTAACAATAAAACATTGTTTAAATATTCTTAGTTTTTTCGGTAAAGTCACGTTGAAGATATATATATTTTATTATTTTGTTGTTTCTCTTCAACGTGACTTTACCGAAAAAACTAAGAATATGAATTACTGCAGTCACGAAAGCTTTAAATCAAAAATTGTTTAAATAGTTTAACACATTTATTACATTCAATATGAGACATTAACACGTGACAACACATGCGTAATACGGTGCAGATTGTTAAAATCCCGTTCATATCTTCTGTTTGTCAGGGTCTGACGATGCTGCTGATGATAAACATCATGAAGATCGGACTGCTGGGCCTGACGTGAACATCAGCTCCGTTTGACACGACCCCCACCCCACTTTTACGCGATCAACCCTGAACATTCTCCGAGCCACACGCTCTTTTCGAGGCCAAGAAGGGGGCCAGCAAAGGCCCCCGGGGGGTGGGGGGTCGGTGTGACTCCGTGAGTCTCACAGTGGGCGTCATTGTCCCACGATTGTCGACCCGCTGCCTCCCGAACGAAAAAATGGAAACATTTTTGTTCTATCTTACCGGGTGAGGCTGATCTTGTTAGCTCTTTTTCAGAAGTCACCTGGCCATAACAAATGATGGCTGCTCAACGAAGCGGCTTATCATCATCGCGTGAAAATTTACAGTGGCAGCTGAATTACTTTTGCAACACGTGGTGACGTCGACTCTAAATGTGGAGGGGGAAAAAAAGCGGAGGACCCTGGAAAAAATCCACGCGACCACGGGGAGAGAGAGAGAGGACACGGAAACTCCAAATATAGAGCAGGCGTCGGGGTCCGGATTAAACCCCCGACCTCTTGCATACCAGGTGAGAGAGTTCACATCTCCCCAACTCATTTCCAGCATTGGCGATTCAACCCTCTCGGCTGCTGCCACACTTGGACACCGTCCGGCTGTCCGTGGCCTGCTTTTGAAGGTGGTCAAACCATCGGCTGACGTCGACGCGATGTTAAAACAGTAACGGTGCGAGTGCGTGCGTGTATATATATGTAGTGCCGTGAATTCACTCGGACGACAACCGTCTCTTTTTCTGCCGTCACTTTTATTCCATCGTTCCGTACACACAGTAATTCTCTCCGTGCTCCGCCAACTCGGACACTCCGATTTACTTCAGCATCGTCCGTGCATCCCCTTCCACACACAGTGTTTCTTCGCCTATCTCTTCACACACAGTGACTTCCCTTCCACACACAGTGGTTCGTATTCTATCTCCTCACACACAGTATCGCTGCTATCTCTTCACACGCAGTGACTTCCATCTGTTCACACACAGTGACTCTCTATCTCCGCTAATGCTGACTCTCCATATCGCTATTTACTGTCTTTGGGGTCCGGCTCTCTATCTATTCTTCCCTAACATTTCCAGCTGTATTCTTCGTATCTCTTCACCTCTCGCCAACAACTGCCCAGCAACAACTCTCCAACAACAACTCCCCAGCAGCAACTCCCCAGCAGCAACTCCTCTCCGTTCAAACCACCTCGCGTTTTATCCCCTCTCACATTAGCCTTAATTAATTGCCACGTGGCTCGCTGGCCGTCTCCCGCCAGCCCGCACCTGTCCCCTTCATCAGACATCCAGACGCCACCACTTAACGCTAACAGCCTCTCGACCAATCACAGCCCTCGTGCCACGACTCCCTTAATTACTTCGGGTTGTTTACGCCACCCGCGACTCGACCACCTGTTCGACCTCATGTGACCCGTTCTCCTTGTCTGTCTGTATGTACTGTATATGGCCAATTCCTATGCGTATTGTTTACTCCACTACATGTATACAGTTGTGGGGAGCGATAGTGTAGCGGTTAGCGCGTTGCGCTACGAACCCAGCGGCCCGAGTTCGATTCCCGCTCACGACCAACACCAGTGACGATTATCTGAACCGGTCCTGGGCCTCCCCTAGGTCGACTCAGCCTCAAATGAGTACTGAGCGAGGTGCGGTGTGTAACTTCGCCACTGGGGAGACAAAGGCGGCCGGGCGTGGTGCTGGCCACCCACCCCCTCGTGCGCCGTATCGGCCTTCATAGGTGCGGCTCGCTAACAGCGCTTGCCCCGACGGTCTGTTAAGGCTACACAGGGGGGGATCTTTCTTTAAGGTTATGAGCAACTTTGTGAACGAATTCGTTCCTTAGTCCAGCACACCGGTGTGTTGGAGAGTAAATTCACAACATTTACTATTTACAAATGGTAGATGTTGTAGTGGGTTTACTCTCCAATTCACAACCGGTTAGTGCTGAGCTCGTAACTAATTGGCATGTTGTGTTTACGTGACAAACCCTTACTAATGAACTATATGGGGTGGTGGTGGTGGTGGTGGCGGTGTATGCCGACATTCACATTTACGCGATCTGACCCAACAATTTGGTTCTGAAAGCCTACTTACGTGTGAAATTGACTTTGTGAACTGCCAATTTGTGTCACCTCACAGGTTTTCACGCGCGGATCGCATAACCGCCCCCCTTTACCGCAACAGGGTACTAAACCTCGCGAACCGCGGTGCTACGAACCGCTGATCTCTCAAGGAATTTCCTCGGCGGCAGAGGAGCTGTGCTCCGATTCGTCTCGTCGTCGATGTCGTCTCTGCCCTCTTCGCTCGATATTGCGCTGCTGGACAGTAGTTGGCTGTCTCGATCAGCGCCGTCAGTGTTAGACGACTCGTGTTGTGTACAGGCTAGGCTAAGCGACTAGAGAGAGTGCGCGGGCGAGACCGTGAATGTTACGTTCTTGGTTCTTTCGGTAAAGTCACCACGTAGAAGGGAAACAATGAAATAATACAAATATAAAACAATAAAATTCTCACGACGTTTCGACTGCAACACAAGAAGCAATCATCATCAGGTGTGAAAACGGCAGCAAGAAAATTTGAAAAAAGTGGCGGTGTTTTTTAACGTTAGCACCTCGGAGAGTGATTTGACAGTTAATCAGATGGACGAGTACATCTATGTTCGGAAAAGAGGAGGGGGGAGACGAAAATAATGGATGCGGTCTGAAAGCCACCGTAAGCGTGAACAATCAATGAAGACCCGAAATTGTTTATCAAATCCTTCCAATGATTGCTAAGCCAGAATCCATCTTCTCGGTTGCAATTGTCTCTGTGTTTGTATATGTGGATAGGCTCATGAACGAATCTCTAATGGTATCCAGATGGCTTGCATCCATTATTTTCGTCTTCCCCCTCCTCTTTTCCGAACATAGATGGACTCGTCCATCTGAACAAACTGTCAAATCGCTATCCGTGGTGCTAACGTTAAAAAAAAAACGCCACTTTTTTCAAATTTTCTTGCTGTGGTTTTCACACCTGATGATGATTGCTTGTGTTGCAGTCGAAACGTCGTGAGAATTTTATTGTTTTATATTTTTATTATTTTATTGTTTCCCTTCTACGTGGTGACTTTACCGAAAGAACCAAGAATATGAATCCCTGCAGTCACGAAAGCTTTAGATCAAAATTTAACCGTGAATGTTCTCATAAAAAAAGCTCCCTCCTATAAACTGTCTGTAAAATTGTTGACACTACACATATGTATGTTGATCTTCTTTTGCACCATACGTAGCGAATCGTGTTAACCAGAGGACTTACTGTTCCACGAAGACTGGACAGTGTTTTTCAGTATTCAGGTCAAAGGTTTTATCTCTAAGGGGCTGTGGTCTAAAATTGCGGTCTCAAATTCAGGTGCGGATGAAAGTTCTTGTAGGCCCTGGGCACTTTTAATCCGTAGGGCCTGCAGTGAACACATTCTCCTGCGGAGGGAGCTGATAGTAGGAACGTCGGGTTCCTCGGTCAATGGCCAGGGTCAACGGCGGCACCACCACGTGGTGTATTCCGCAAATATGCCCGACTGTGAGGGCGGGCACAAGCCGGCGTGAGTAGGTTAAAGGTTGGGTTTATAAGGGGGGCACCACGGGGTGACCAGCCCCTCCCCACCCAGCCCCACCCCATCCTCCCCTCCCCACCCAGCCCCTCTCAAACCCAGCCCCACCCTCCCCACCCAGCCCCACCCGCCCCACCCAGCCCCACCCTCCCCACCCAGCCCCACCCTCCCCACCCAGCCCCACCCTCCTCACCCAGCCCCTCCCCACCCAGCCCCACCCTCCCCACCATCCCCTCTCCACCCAGCCCCACCCTCCCCACCCAGCCCCACCCTCCTCACCCAGCCCCACCCCTCCCATTTTTGGATGCACGACGGACAGATACGGTAATCCCGTGTGGGCTGGTGGTGTAACCAGGAGGTTCCTACACAGAATAACTCTCTCCAGTTGGTACTGCCGCACACATTACTGCCCATGCGCTGATACTCTCCATTTGAGAATGACATTGTGCGAAAAAGCACCATTTGAAGATGTTCATTTGCTAACTTTGCAATATGGAAACATCTCAAAGTTCACCTGTGGTGGTTATATTTTTTTACCTTGCCTTATATATATAAAAAAAAACGATTAACATGACTCTGCCTCTTTGTGTCCACACTATTGTCTATCCTTGTGTAATGGTCGACGGTGGCAATGGACTGGTAGCCCCGGGAGGTAATGACAAGGGGATTCAGCGTGCAGTGCGAATGGGCTGGGGGCCATGGGAGTGATAGGGGCGTGGTCAAGTGACGTAAGAGGACAGGAGTAGGAGGGGTGGTCTATGGCCCAGCGTGAAGGCTTGAGAATAGGGGGCGTGGCCATGGGACAGGGGTGTGGCTACGCACCATACACAAAATATAATAGGCCAAGAATGTGTTTAGCGTGTGACGTCACTCCACATGAGGCCCACCCCCCACGTGACGTCACTCTACAGGCCCACCCCCCCCGCGCAACGTCACTCCACATGAGACCCACCCCCCCTTCATTAATATTCATGAGTGGGTTGATTTGTACACTAAGGCAGAGGAAGGTCGAGCTGAATTTAATAATTTATTACGCAAAGTCGCTTCAAATGTGACGACGTTTCTTCGCAGAGTGACGGTAAAAAAATAAATCTAAGCAGCAGTGCGACATCCGTGTGTGACGTCACCGCAAGAGCCCCCCCCCCCCCCTTCATTAATATTCATGCACACGTGGAAATTTACAAGAAGGTCGCGAACTCCACATGCCGCACCCCTCCACAATAACCACGAGGGAGTGACGTCACTCCACATGCCGCACCCCTTCACAATAACCACGAGGGGGTGACGTCACTCCACATGCCGCACCCCTCCACAATAACCACGAGGGGGTGACGTCACTCCACATGCCGCACCCCTCAACAACTACGAGTGGGTGACGTCACTCCACATGCCGCACCCCTCCACAACAACTACGAGTGGGTGACGTCACTCCACATGCCGCACCCCTCCACAACAACCACGAGTGGGTGACGTCACTCCACATGCCACACCCCTCCACAACAACCATTAACAGGTAACGCCACTCCACATGAGGCACCCCCCCCCCCCCACCTCATTAATGATCATGAGCTGAAAGAATGTTTCCACTGAATATTTCAGATTTACTGCAATCCACGCCCGTCCTGGGAGGGCAACAAAGGCTCGAATCAAGAGAATGGGCGTGAGGCCCGGGGCTGCTGTAGTTGGGGGGGTCTTTGCCTGTTCCAAGTGGACGTGTTCTTGAAACGGGTCCCTGCAGGGTGGGCTGGTAGGACAAGTCTCTGCGCTGTCTATTGCTGATTTTACACCCAACAGCACGAGATTTC